ATGGCTATATTGGATGCATTAGTTAATATGTATCAATAAAGATAGTAAATATGAATTGTATTCTGTCTTTTAAACAGGAAGACTTTTTTTTTCTTTTCTTACTTGTGTTTATTGGTCGGCTAAAATTTATCTGAGTATGAATCGTACAATAAATACGGGTTACTACGAATGGAGAGTATTTTTTTACTGTACTTGAAGGGTCGGTTGTAGGCCATCGATAAAAAAATCGGTAAATTTAATTTTATAAATACACAAGGCGTGTTAGTCTTTTAAAAAGTGGGAGAATTTGTGTTATTAATGTGTAGGAGAAAGTTTATTTTAATTTTGTAAATTATAAAAACGGAAAAAAAAAATAAATACAAAACCAGTCTAGGCAAAAGCCATAGCAATTAGTTTGTAGTAGACTTAATAAAAACAATTTATGTCGAACATTAAATGTAGTTCAAAAAGCATTTTTAATTTTATCATCATTAATACACTTGTGGACTAAAGTTGCCATGTTGCCATATATTGTCTGGGGTATGTATTTTGTAAACAATAATTAAATGTCAGGTCGATTTTATAGCTCAAAATTGAAATAAATTTTTATTCAACTACATGTATATTTAAAAAATTGGCATGTTTATTTTCTTTATCATTATTTTAATATTAACCTAATTAATTTAAACATATTTACTAATATTGTTTCATGCAAAAATATAATATAACAACCTATAGGTGAAATTTTCAAAGAAACAAAGAACTACATTTAAAATTACACACATTTTTCGGCGTTGTCTTCATCTTAATTATTCTCTATGCTAGGTTTTAATAAAAGTTTACTGCTAAAATATGTACTTAAATTGAGAAGTTGTAAATCCAAACGGCTAAAACGATATTGATTTCAATTTGAGAAAAGAGTTAGTTTTGGTTAGATCATAAGAAAATAAGGAAAAAGAATTCACTAAGTTTTCTGTTTGTCCATCCCTACATTGGTGTATTTCCCATATGTAAAAGTAAAACACTCACGTTACATCGGAGGCTATTGAAAAGTTTCATTTACATGGCATAAATCTCCCAAATAATGGCCCATTTTTATCTGACCTCCTTTATGGAGATGATGTGTTGTTTATTGGAAAATTGTCTTTGGTGAACATGGTGAACTTAAATAGATTATTTAGATTTTTTTTTTTCGTTTTTGTTTCCAAACTAAAAGTGAATCTTCATAAAAGCAACTTATATGGGGGCGGCCGGGGTGGAAAATGCATGAGATTTCTAGACGCGTGGATGTTTTGCATTGTGAGCCCAGTTCTTTTCCGTTCACGTACTTGGGTCTTTCTATCGGGATAAATCTGAAACTTTCAAAATATTGAAACCGATTGTAAATAAATTTCAATCAAAGTTGAGTGCTTGGAAGGCTAAAAAATTATCTTTTGGAGGTAGATGAACGCTCATTAAGTTTGTTCTTGGAAGCCTCCCGTTTTACTATGTTGCTTTTTTTAACGCACAAAAGTCGCAAAAGAAAATCTATGCGACTTCAACGACATTTCCGCTTGCTCTCAAATGTCGCGACCTATCGGTCGTCGAGGCGGAGAGATCTCTTCAATGTCGTTGAAGTCGTCCGATATCTCATCCATGTTCGCATTGAGGTCGATGTTCGTACGTGCGTCCGAAACATCGACCGAACTCGCGCCGCGAGACCTCTTGGATTGTTGTTCCTAAAATATGACCATTTTATTCCATTTTAGGCCTTCCTTGAAAATCTTCCAAATCTTTTAGTGCTCGAAAACGTGACCCGTATCAACATGATATTGGTCCCTTACCGCTTATCAAAATCGTTCACACCATTTTGCTTGTGAGAGAAAAGTTTGTTGTAGATGAAATTGAACTTGGTGCACTTCTTGCTTATTTGAGTCCACTTGCTACTCAACATATCGTGATTGCGATAATTTTCATCCTTCTTTAAAATGGTCTGAAATTTCCAGATCACAACTTCCCAAAAAGCGACTTTTCTCATATCGTTTCCTTGAGTTGGATTTTTTGATGTTCCACACCACGACACCGCTAACGCGTATTCTTCCTCCGCAGTCCACCATGTTGGAGGTTTTTCTTTCGATTGCTCCACCGTGACCGCTTTCCCTTTCCTTATTGCTCTCCCTTTGTTGGCCATTTTTTTCGGCTCCCCCTCCCCCTGCTTGTGTCTCTGGTACCGTTTCTTGCGTGGGTGGTGGTTGTGTGGTATTTTGTTGCATGGTAGCGAATGTGTTGAAAATGCTTAGTAAAAGGTTTGTTGGGAATTGTGGTGGGGGTGAGGCGGGATTGAAAAAGTTGGTGGAAATTGAAAGTTGTAGTGTGCCGTGAGTGTTGAGGATGTTCGTGTACAACTCATACTGTGCAAAAATGAGAGGAGGGGATGTATTTATGTTTGGAGGAGAAGTGTTGGGGTTTTAATCAATATTGTGTTGTGTGTAAAAAATGAATTGAGAAATGGTATGTAAAAAATGAAGTGAAAATGTATATATACTGTGAGAAAAATTGAAAAAAAATAGTTTTTTTTTTCGACCGTTCTTCAACGGTCCATTTTTTTACCGTTACCAAAAAAATTGACGACATACATTGCGTTTCTTCCCGTTGCCACGATAACGCACGATACCATAACGCCAAAAAACGGGGACCAGGGGTGGTGTTCTTCGCGTTATAACGACGTTATTACGAGGCCACGTCGGAATAACGTCCTCCGGCATTGCCCGTAACAAGTGGTCTTAAAGTTGTTTTGAAATCAAATTCGGATAAATGGAGTTGGGCGTTGTAAAACTCAAACTTGCTCGTTATACCGTCGTGGAACATATGGAAGATGAGAAACTATGTCATATTTAATAAGTTGAGTTGTTGCTCAAGTAAGATTATATATGATAATTAATGTTTAACTTTTAATCGGGTTAAGCTTAAGGCTAGAGAGTCGAACTTATGTTAATAAATTGATGTTGTTCGCCAAGTATGTCTTTTTATAACTTGTAACTTTCTAATGTGTCGCTAGCTTTTAATACAAAGTTACAAACACAAAGTTACATACTATTCATCTGATTTGATTTTGGATTTTATAAATCCATCTAAATTCCATTCCTAGCGGCAGAGCTACCATTTGTCAAAAAATGTTGGTTAATATTTAACTGAATTTTTTTTAATATTTCAATATGGAAAAAGAAAGAAGTTAAGCTAGAAAGAGGGAAAATAGGGTAGGATCAAATAGGCTCACTTTCTCCGCGTTTCCTTAGCCTCGGCTTATGGGGGTTCTCTTTTCACTCACCTCTTCTCTCTTTCTCCATTGCAGTATTTCTGTTGACACCATCTTTATATGCTTCTTCAAGAACCTGTTTTTTCCCCTTAAAATCCGAAGACACGAAAAGAATTCTCATTTATTTCTTCTTTTTAATCATTAATAATTCCAACTAATCTCACCTTATTTTTCTTGTAAATAAAAGTCCATTAAATTGCTTCCTTGAAAACCCTAAAAAAAAGCCATTAATTTTATTCCTCTACACTTTTCTATAAAACCCTAAAAGACCTCATTAGTTTTCTTCCTTTATTCACTTCTCTTGATAACCCTAACTTAGTTGCCTTCCTTTGTTAAACCAAGAAAGATTTCATTTTTTCCCCTTTTCTCTTAACAAACCCTAAATCAACCCTTAATCATCTTCCTCTCTATTCATCCACTAAGAAAGAATTCAACATTTTTTTTCCTTTTTTAAAACCATAAAGACCCCCATTGTTTTCTACTTTTTTTCAATAAGAAAGATTTAAGCTTTTTTTTTTTTCTTGAAAACCCCTAAAACCACATTAATTATCTTCCTTTATTCACCAAGAAAGAAGCACAAATAAGCACACACACTTACACTTGAAAGAACACAACAGTAGACTGACAGTACAGTGAGCAGGTAGCTAGACCTTTTTATTAGTGCCTTCTGTCTCTTGAGTTTTAGGGGAAAAAGTAGGATATAAGCTGATCACACATCACTCAAAACCCTTTTGTAACTTTCTTTTTTGTCTTTTTGGTCAATAAACAAAAAGATTTGAGGTCCTCCTTTTCCTACAATTCATCTCTTACTTCACACTGTGTCCCTTTAAAGAACGAAAAACAAGAGAGAGACTAGAGAGAGAAAGAAGGGTTTGACCGAAGAAATCGAGGCCATCATCATCATATCTTCCCTTCCTTTCTTGCTGCTAACTCTATTGGATTCAGGTTGCAATTTTAATTACACTAAATATAATTAATGTTCGTCCTTTTTGTTTTTTCATTTTTACTTTTGCATTATATTATAGATCCATGTTTACATCTAGTGGATTTTTTTCTGGTTCGCCAAAGCTATAGATGCTTGATCGGATTTTGACTGTTGCAAGTATTTACAGTTTTACCTTTAGTTTGCGTAGTCACATCGCAGGTCTTTTTTTCTATTTATAAGATTTTGACCTTTTAAAAGATATATTGTATTTGTATATAATTTAATTTGCAAAAATGTCATCAATGATTGTTATCCCAAGAAGCATTATAACTAATGAAACCCCTCAAAACCCTCGTCTTGAAAGCACAACTCTTCTTCACTTTCACGAGATCCAATCTTTTCTTAATCTTTTCTCTTCAATCCCAGTTCTAAACGTCCTCTTCATAGTTTATAAAAATACATTCTTTCTCTGTTCGCGTTATTTCAGCTTATTATAACCAACTCGTTCGTTCTAAAAAAAAAAGAAAAAAAAAAGCCCATCAAGATCTATAAATTCTTTATTGGTGAGCATGAATAACTTTCGGAGTCATTCAAGAAATCATTAGTAGTTGCAAACACTTCAGATCTGGTTTCTGTGATCTATTTTGACGAGTAGTTGAATAAAAATTTCTTTGTTTTTGGAAGAATTCATCTGCATTTATCAATCAAGCTTCTTCCTTTTTTTGATTAATTTATGATCTTAAATTTTGTTTTTGATTCTATATATGCAGAAAACATTCTTTAAGAACATTGGTGTAATAAATGGCTTCATCTTCAAATTCTCCATGTGCAGCCTGCAAGTTCTTGAGACGAAAATGCCAACCAGAATGTGTTTTTGCACCTTACTTTCCACCGGATCAGCCTCAAAAATTCGCTAATGTTCACAAAGTGTTTGGAGCAAGCAACGTGACGAAGCTTCTGAACGAACTCCACCCTCACCAACGGGAAGATGCTGTCAACTCTCTAGCTTATGAAGCCGATATGCGGCTCCGGGATCCAGTCTATGGTTGCGTTGGTGTCATCTCCCTCCTCCAACACCAACTTCGCCAACTTCAGGTGGATCTTACTTACGCAAAATCCGAGCTTTCAAAGTACCAGAACCATAGCCATAACCTAAACGGCTCAGCCACTCAAGGACTTATCGCCGCTGCTGCTGCGGCGGCAGCAGCAGCGACCCACCACCAAACCCTAGGAAACAATTTGATATCATCATGTTGCGGTGGCGGAGTCACTCGAGACCATCTGTTCCACCCCCACCACCACCCACCGTTCTTCACCGGTAGAGATCAGCAAACGTCCGCCGCCATCAGGGCTTTTGATGTCAACAATAATTACGATACTACCGCGAGTGTTCTTGCTATGAACGTATCGGCCATTGGTATTGGTCAACACCCTCAATTCCAGCAACCTAGAGCTGCTGGAACCGATGATCGGCCAACACCGATCGATCCTTCTTAGGATTTTTAAAAGGTAATCGTCCATAAATTATCTTTTCTTTCGTGTTTCGTGATTATTGCTTCATTGTAATGATATAACTACATATTACTCAATCGATGCTATCATAATATTTATTTATACTATAAAACTTTATATATAATTATACCATCACTTTCGTTTTTCTCATTTGATCTTTCTTGAAATTATTGTTTCGAAATTGGCGTGATCGAAATGAATGAAGATGATCAGGACATGGGGACACCTACAGTTTCTTATCTTGTTTTGTTTTTGGTTTATTTAACATGATTTCATGCTTCTTTAGCAGCTACTGTAAAATTTTATTTGATTTCTCCAATACCAACTGATATTTCTTGTGATGAAAACTAGGTGTAATGATTACAGCTATGGTCTAGTTCTTGTTTTACAGAAATAGGGTGGTCAAATTTATTGTTACTGTTGATTATTTTTTTCGTATAGTCAGCAGTTTTATTTATTTATTTATTTATTAAGATAAAGTTAAATTTATCAAAGTATGAAGGTATACTCCCAAAACATAACTCCAGTGTTTATTGGATTTCTTTTCTGCCATGCATTTGAGGGTTTGAGTTTACGCCCTGATTGGATACAATGTACTACAAAGTTTTTTACGCCCTGATCGACAAACTAATCGAAAGGATATCGTCATAAAAAAATCTTAAATTTGGTTGAAAATGTCGGTTTTATAATCTAACAGAATTTTTGTTCGATAAAACGGCAAACTTGTTATATATTGTCGTTTTTATCTGTAACGTAGGTTTCAAGTTATTATGAAATATTACTTGTGAAAAAGCTCTTAAGTTCATAAATATTTTGCAAAAAAACCCTTAAGGTTATATATATATATATATATATATATATATATATATATATATATTCAAAATTTGTTAAAACTAAATATTTTTTTAAAATTTAAATATTAAAAGTTTATATCAAACCAATGTAAATTTATTATACTTATATTATAAAATCAAAAACCGAAATATATTTTTACTTTTAAGTACGGTAAATTTTATATTTGTTCTATAAAGACTTTTGATTTAAATTTTAAAAAATTATTTAATTTTCTCAAATTTTGAATATATTTCTTAATTAATACTTAAACTTTTCAAAACAAAACTAAAAATGTTTGTTAGCTAAAAATTAACTACGCTGTAATAAATGTTAAACTAGTTAAAACATATGAATAATATGACCTTAATTAATTATATTCAATTCATTTTCTTTAAAAGGGAAATAAAAATATTTTATATGTTTAAAAAGTTTGTATTTTAGAAATAATAATGAATCATATTTTTTATAAAAATAAATGTATTTGTATAATATCATAGAAAATATATCTATATTTTATATGTTTAAAAAGTTTATATTTGTGATTCAGAAATAATAACTTAAACAAATATATTTAATTTTATACAAAAAAACATGTATATTATTATTTCTGAAAGACAAACATTTTAAACATAAAATATTTTTATTTTACTTTAAAAAAAAATACTTGCATGGAAATAATGCCACCACATAATGACTGTGATCACCTCCAAAAGTGTTTTACGAGCCATGTATATATACAACGAATCTAAAAAACCTCATAAATCACGTATAAGAATAAGATTAGATAACTCTATATCACACCAACAACTTATCTTGAAAAAAAATTGGGACGTCACTTCATACTCGATAAGCACATGTTGGACATTTTTCTATAGAGTTGTTATAAATTGAGCATAAAGAACAACGAATGTCAATACCACAGATAAACAAATTTGTTTAAGTAGGAAAACGGTCCAAAATAGCTCTCTATCGAAATATATTAACCTTAATAAGAAGAATTTTATTCAATTCGGTCTTTATAGGAAGAGATATCACTCCTTATTTATCAATATGAATTTGAGACTTCTTAACAACTTATTCCAGACAATTATTATGATTTATAATCTTAAAGGTTTTTTCGTAAAATATTTGTAAACTTAAGGGTTTTGTCAAAAATAATATTTCATGGTAACCTGAAACTTATTATTACAAGTAAAAAGATCAAAAATGACAAAATATGGCGAGTTTACCGCATAAACATACCAGAATCTGTCGGAGCGTAAAACCGATATTTTTGACCAAACTTAAGGCTTTTTATGACATTATCGCTAACTGAAAATGTATAAAAATGTAGCTTAATAATAATCTATTTAAGTTAGTTTATCTATAAGGCGGATAGGTGTAGCGAAACCGTACATCGCAAGGTATTAAGGTGTCACTGCGATGCTTTCTTCCTTATTTCCTCTCCCAACTAGTTGAGATTTTATTTGTTTATTATTTTTAAAACTTACCACTACAAATACCACTCCATCTACTACTCATTTCACATAATTATTATATTTTCTACTACGAACATAAATTGAACCAATATTCTCACCAATCTCATCTCAAGAAAACTGAGGATGAGCATAGGCTAAAATGTTGGAACCAAAACCAGAGCCACGGGTAGCGATTCCAATACAGTGTACCCGGTTCGTTAAATTCATTTTGAAAAATAGTACACTATGTCTACAATCTTCAAAAAAAAAAAATTTGAATATGGATAGTTTAAATTCAAAGTGAAAATTACACATGGACATTAAGATTCAAAACAAACTACTCAAAATTCTAAAATTTTAAATGATCTTATTCAAGATACTTATAAAGTATGTGATTATGATATATATATATATAAGATAGATATATATATATATATATATATATATATATATATATATATATATATATATATATATATAGGGCTAGGTTGGATGACATCTATTGTGTAGTCATAAGGATAATTTTGAACTAATGGATGAATAAAATGAATGACCATGATATGAGAGTCTATGATATTACGATGTGATAACATGTACCATATAATCATATAAATTTCAACATAAGGGTATTTTGGTCAATTAAACTACATTTAAAAAAGGAAATTTTTGGATTTTAAAAGGATAATTAATTCTCTTAATTTTAAAAATCTAAATTTTTTAAATTAATTCAGTTTTAGTTTTAACATAACTTTTAATAATAATCGATTTTATTCTGTCAGAATGATATAATTTCAGTCATATAGTAGTTAAGATATTTCCAATTTTATTCTTACATAATATGATTCCATTCAAGATATTTATGATAATTAGCATGCTTAAAGAATTATACAACATATCAAGAATAACATTATCTAAAAAATACGATTTTTTTATATGAAAACGGATTTTATTCTTTAAGAATCATTGATTACCTTAATTTCTTAAAGAATAAGACTATAAACAATAATTATTAAAAATATGACCAATAATGGTTAAGAATGTTATTTGTTCTTAAAGATTAAAACTAAGAATGATTAATTAAAAAGAGAAAAACATCAATAATCTAACAAAATCATTAATCCATTCTAAAAGAAAATTATTGCTAAGAATCGTTTTACAAATTCTGGCAGAATACATTCTGCCTATAATACACTCTCGTTCTTCATGTTTTTTTTCTCTCCCACATCAATAATAACCTCTTCGAAACCTAAACCCACAAACAAAACATAATCAACTTTCAAATATTAAAATATTTGTTGCATTTTAAAAAAAAAAACTATAAATTCTAATAGAATATGGTAGACGTTAAATAAATGTAATTTATTCTAATAGAATGTAATCTTCGAACCAGAAAATAAATTATATGAAAAAGTGTTAACCTTTTCAACCATTCTGAAGAAATGTTAACTTGTTCAAATCATAAAACTTCCTTATTGTTGAATTTCATAATTTTTAATAAATTAAAAGTGTACTAAATCTATAATTTTATATTTTAGAAATACAAAAAGATTAAAAAATATCATGACAGGGGCATAATATAAGAAACGAAAATCAATTTCATTGAGCAGTTCATGTGCATCAACACAAAAAATATGAAACGAAAATCAATTGATACGGTTTAATAGAATCGCTTTGTAATGGGATTGGTGGCTAAAACCACAGATATATAAATACAATTTTCCACAAATGTGTAATCTGTATAAATCCCATCACAGTCATGCCATCATTGCCAATTTTTCATGTAACAAAAACTAAAGTAATTATACAATTCATTTCATGCCTTACCTTAATACCCAATCATGAATTGTCCCCAACTATTCAATCACGAATTTGGGTCTTTTTATTTATAAACACATCAATCAAACCATATTTTCAGTCATTTATGATTTATCTTACCTGTTTCCTAAAAGGACAATAGTTGTTTATTCAATTGTGTTCATATAACAAGAAGTTTGTTATGCTTCTAGTTTGATTCCACGACAAACCAAAAACAAAAAGAAGCTTTTAGGTTCATATTTTGGACGCACAAAGAAAAAGGAAATAATAATAAAAAAAGCTAAATGGCTTCTACTTTTGAACCGATCCACAAACAAATAAACAAAAAAAAAAACTTTTGAAGTTTTAATTGAAAAAGAGATTAATCGACGAATGGTTTTTTTTTTTTGATACTTAAAATTCCTTGAGACTCTACGCAAGAAAAACCCTAAATAGATTTAAATAAAAAAAGAGTTGTACCATCAAAGTGGCAGAGTGCATCCGAAGGTGACGTTTGGGTTGCGATGGGATGTGCGACCGTGGCGTAGGAGTGGTAGGGGCTGCGGGAGATTCCCTTCCTTCGTGATGGTAGCGGCGGCCAATATCGTGGACTGAGATGTTGGTGTTCGTGTGTAACTATGATACTATTTCAATGAGTACTCGGGAAACAAAATGTGTTTTTATAGGAATATGATCTTGTTTTAAGTTTGGAAATTATTTAATATATATGTAACATTACTAATTTACCTTTATTGGTTTAATTAATGATTTATTTATTTTGTGAATTTTGATTAGTCCCTTCGTTCAAATAATATTTGTTCATCCACATATGAACCTACATCTCTATATATATATATATATATATATATATATATATATATATATATATGTGTGTGTGTG